TGGTAGTAGTAGTAGAAGTAGTAGAAGTAGTAGTAGTAGTAGTAGTAGTAGTAGTAGTAGTAGTAGTAGTAGTAGTAGTAAGTAGTATAAGTAGTAGTAGTAGTAGTAGTAGTAGTAGTAGTAGTAGTACTCGTCGTCGTCGTCGTCGCCGTAGCATTAGCAGCAGCAGCAGCAGCAGCAGCAGCAGTAGCAGTAACTGTAGCAGTGGTAGCGGCAGCGGTAGCAGCAGCAGTAGTCGTAGCAGCAGCTGTAGCTGTAGCAGTAGAAGGAGCAGTCGTTGAAATAGTGTCACAAGTCGCAGCAGTAGCGGCGCCAGGACAGGCAAAGGGCAGAAGGAGGAGTAGTGAACGTATTAGAAGATTGGCAGTGTCTAAGCAGAGGCAGCCCTTTGCAGTGTTTTCAACCCGTACACAAACCCAAGGGTGAGTTCTTAGTCCCTCTACTAAAATGGCAAAGTATCTTTATACCAATAGTGAATACCCATACTACGACTACTATTATCGTCGAATTATCGTGACTACTACTACTGCTAAATACTCACACTGGCACTAACACTCGCGCTGACATTAACAACACGAACACTAACACTAAAAATGCTAATAGTAATCCGAATAATAATAGTAACAATAACAATAATACCTGTGCTAACACTATAACGCTGCTAATACTAATACCAATAACAACAATAATGCTAACGGTAGCAGAAAATAGTATTAAAACTGAAACTAAAGCTAAAAGTAGGTAAACTTACCTGTCGACCCTCCACCCTTCAGGGCACCAGCGCCAAGCACGCGGAATCGATCACACCTACCGTAGAGTGACTGGCTCCCAGCTGGAGGGTCCAGGTATACGTAATGAAGGTCTTAAGGGTTATAGTTATATAGTTTTGGAAACTTCTTGTCGTCGCCAGCGCAGCTTTCAACTCGTCTCTAAAATTTGTTGCCAGGTTAAGGCTCGAGAGCGCTCTTCTGCCACAACGTTCAGCCGCGCCGGCTGTCCTCCGTTTGTCAGAAACGGCATCGTCCACTAGCCCGGTGATGGACGAAGACACACGGCAAAGGAAGCCGGATGCCGCTGAAGCAGTGGAGCTTCGTCTGGAGCGAGCCGTTTGGCCACAGTCCGTGCCTCCTGTTCTTCGTCTGTCTGATGGAGCTTTGGCCACAGATGCACCCACTAGTCTAACAGGAGCTGGGGCGGAGGATCTGGAGCTATTGTCAGATCTCGATTCTCAGAAGAGTCATTCAAACACGTTGGGACCGGCTGAGACTGCAGCTCGCAGTGATGTGACCACTATGATGCTTCGGAACGTGCCGAAGCATCTGTCGCAGGCGGACCTCGTGGCAGAGTTGAACGCCTCTGGTTTTTCGCAAGCCTTCGATTTTTGCTATCTGCCGCGACACTTTGAGAGTTCTGAGAACAGGGGCTATGCTTTCGTGACTTGAGCCGCAACGATGCAACACTTTTCGGTCGGGGCTGCATTCCTCGTATGATAGGCCAGAGACTCCGGCTTCATACCACTAAACCCTAAACCCTAAACCCTAAACCCTAAACCCAAAGACGTGAGACAGCAGAGGTGAACTTCGTCACGCCAGCGAATGCTCTGATGTTTCAACGTGCCTGGCAGAATCGCATCTCGGAGAGTTTAGAGTTTAGGGTTTAGGGTTCAGGGTTTAGGGGTTTAGGGTTGGGTGTACCCAGTGTAGTCTGCAGGGCCATGCAGGGCTCCCTCATGACTTTGGTGATGAGGTTAGGAGATACACCGGAGAAATCCGGAAGGTAACAGCGAGGACAGCCTCGTCGGCCGATAAGGGCACCTACAAGTTGCTAGTAACCTGCTCAGTAGCTTGTTGTTTGTGTACATGAAGGAACCGAATCTGAGCGGTTCTGATGTCGGCCCTATATTAGACCTAACCCCTAAACCCTAAACCCTGACCGTTAGAAACTCTCTGGATCCTGGCAGCAGGGCGATTTTTAGCAGATTCAGCTCCACACAGAGAGTTGTTTGCAGTCATCGGCAACGCAAGGATCAGAATTCCCGGCGCAAGAATAATAAATGCTCCCATAAACTGAAAGTGAGCATGATTACCATGGTTACAGCAGCAGTAGCACAGCAAGTTTTTGCTGCTACAGTAGTTGGTGCTGTGACAGTGAACTATTGCAACACAGCTATCGCTCGTCCTGTTTTATTGCAATTGCCCTAAACCCTAAACCCTAAACCCTAAAGACCTAAACCTGTGTACGTCGAGCCCCGCCAAGGCGAATTCAGGGTTGTCGGCTGCGGAACGATGTTGATCAGCGTGTCTCACGCAGATGTGCAAGGTCTTCAAGCCAACATGAGCCTTGACTCCACTTGGGCGTTCTGGTGTTTAGGGTTCAGCATGTTCGGACGTTTCGATCTGGTGATTCCATGCAGCTTCCTTTCTTTATCCCAGGTGTCTTCCTTTCCGGTACTTATTTCAGAACTGATACGTACCGTGAGTCCTAGAGCGGCTTGCAAGAGTTCAGGTAGGCCACGGCGGTTACCTCAAAGCCTGAATGCCTCAAGTTTATATCGCCAACTCCCGTAACACCCGTATCCCTGTACAAAGCCTGGAATCCACAATCCGGCACCATCTTCTTGCTGTTTGCAGCGCACCAGAACTTCTGTTCTTCACTTCAATATCAGAAGCAATGAGAAAGTCCTCGCCCAGAGCGAGACATGAACAAAGGCAGCCTTCATGCCTACGAGCGCAAAAGACAAGATCTGCCTTTAGCTGTCTAAACTAAACAAGAAGTGCGGCAAGGATATGCAGGCAGCTCTGGATCTCTTTCTGTCTTGAGGGAGTCCGGACAGCTTCACTATCATGTCAATGGCATCAGCTGCTCTTCTCTTGAGAAGAAGAAGAACAACTTCTGGGTCATTAAAAGACATTGGGGTTGCTGCGATAATAAGACCACCACAGCCGCCATCTCTCGATACAGATGAGATCGCCCCTGTATGCCTTCGGAACATCACACCAAAGAAGCAGCTTCATATGTGTTTCGGGCACGTCTGATCTGATCTCGGACTGTGAGTATGTCGATCAGGAAACCAGGAGTGACTGACTCACTTGAGTTCATGTGAATACCAATGTTGCAGCGCAAACAAAACTAGCCCTGTGTTGAGCTTGCCTGTCTTTCAGTAGAATGTAAAGACAGTGCGTGGTCCGATCTTGAGACCAAATACTTCATGCTATGCGGCACATCTCCAGAATACCCACAATCGCAACAGCAAGACATGCGAAAGCCTCGGCTGTAAACTAATTATTTCAGAGTATCAGGTTTTTGGGAATGTGGGGATTTGGCATCTTTTGTATTTGATTTCCAGGCTGAGAAAGACTCAAAAGGCATCAAATCAAGCGGATCCAGTCACGAACAGTATAGTCGACATGTATGGTTAACGATTAATGCCTGATGCATTCGACCAGGATGGTGATCAGCTGCACAACAGTGACAAGCGGCAGTCGTCTGCAGAAGTACCACCACCGTCCATCAAAACCCTGAACCCTGAACCCTAAACCCTGAAGTCGAAACCCTAAACCCTAAGTGTGAGAGCCGAAACCCACCTAGTCAGGAAGAAGTGGTGTGGGCCCCGACTGCGGCGCATCCGAAACCCAAGTTTGCTCCCATACATGGCGCCACATGTGCGCCTCGGAGCGCCTTCAGGGTTTAGGGTTTAGGGTTTAGGTTACCCTTACCCATAGCCCCCGTAGTAGTTCCTTTTGGGGGTTCATATTTAGCATCCTTAAGGTATTCCCCAAAAGAACCCTAAACCCTAAACCCTAAACCCTAAACTATGGGGCCTGTGGGCCGTAGGGCTGTCGGATTCAGTGGGTTGTGGTGTTTCGGATTCAGCGGCTTGGAGTATAGAATTGGGTGCTTCGGAAATTTTTATGGAGCTTAGTACTATGAGCCGTCAGGTCAAAAGAAGTGGATAAAATTGGAGTCTCCGGCTTTAGGACTTGGGTGCCGCGTGCTTCCGCCGGGGGTAAGACGGGTTTGGATACCGCCCTGTCCAGCAAGTCAAAACTTAGTTTCAGCTGACGGTGGCGGATATACAATATGAGACAGGTAGTATAGTATAGTTTTAGTAGTATGATATATTTCTACTGTCCGTTATAATTATAATACTATATAGAAAACCCCGCAAACCATCCGAAAACCGCCTAGTTGCGCTTCTTTTGGAGATTCAGGCTCGCTTCTACGGCGGGACAGCAGTCGCGGCCGAACATGCCAGATGTTCGGGACATTGCAGTCGCTCGGACTACTAGACTGCCCTAAGGCTCTTATTGCTGTTATGGGCTTTCTAGGGGAAGGTTTGGGCTTTGGGGGCTAAGGTTTGGGCTTTCACTTTGGGGGTCCATGAGCTTTAGGGTGAGTAGTAGGGTTTAGTGTTCAGGGTTTAGGATTACTAGACTTAGTAGTGGGGTAACTGAGGCTCTACACCTCTCCCAGGAACCCAACTATGTAGAGGATGTACTCGGCTTCGGGGGCTTGGGGCTTGGGGGTCGAGGGTGTCAGGGCTTCTGATTGGGCTTTTGCGGCGCTTTTGACCAAGCCAGGGTTGGATTCATGTCGGTGCTTTAGAGCCGAAGGGGCCGAAGCAGTAGCTGGTTTTGAGCGAATAGGGGTTATGAGCTCGACTGGTTTCCCCGGAGGGAGATGCGTTGAGTTGTGTGGCAATGACCCTGGCTAATTTTGCCTATCATGTGCACATGGCTGCATCTGTTCCGGATTGTGTTGCCTTGACGTTCGTTGACAATCTGACGCTTGTGCATTTTGGAGACCATCCGGACAGCGTGCTCCACAGGGCCAGCATTTCAAAGACGCTCGTGCTCTTCCTTTGCCTTGCCTGTCCTCGGCGATTCAAGCGCAGTGTGATGCCACACGTGTGCATTTTTGGGCACCTTGCGTCAAGGATGTTGGCTTGTTCAGGCAGGCACTTTGCCAGCTCCCTGACACCACGTCGCACTTTGAGCCTCTGCCTCCTATGCCCATGTAATTACGATCTTTTCACAGATGGCGCCTGCCTTTGCTGGTCCTTTCCCTCCCTGCACTTGGCCTCTTAGGGGTGTCGTGGTTGCCACGAATTCCTTCGGCTAACCTGACTGTTTACATTCGTTTCCACAGTTGAAATGCCTGTTCGTGTCTTGTCTGACTGCTTGAGTGTGGTGGGGAGGGCCCAAAGCTTGCTCGCTGGCGAGTGGGTTCCCGCACCCACAGGAAAGCAATGGAAAGCATGAGCTTTGGAAACGGATGTTGCATCCCATGCCGCTGCTGGCTGATCGGGTTTCTGTGTATATAAGGTCTCTGCGCATTTGGACTCGGATTGGCAGGTTACGTTCGCAGATGAATGGGCCGTCATCCACAACAATGAGGCTGATTACCTGGCGGGTTGCGCTAATCAGGAGCGCGGTGAAAAGTTTTGGAACCTCTGGCGTCGGTGCGCGGATGGTTATGCTGCATCATGCATTGCTGAAGGGATTCTGATCGCTTCGCGGTCCGAGGGCCGACCTGGCGTCCGTCCAGTGTTGGCGGTGGCTGCGGTAGGTGAGGGTCGGGTGAGGCTTCCTTCATCAATCCAGCGTGTAGTGTGGACCCACGAGGCCGTATTACATGACACATCGGTTTGGAGACGCTGCGGTCAGAACTGCATTTGCGTGGTTTCGGGGCTTGCAGTCCCGTGGCGGCGGAGGATTGCAGTGGGCGTCAGTGCTGCAATTCTTGTTGGACTTTTGTTTTCACACAGGTCCATTGTACCATGCCAGCACGTGCATGTGCATCGATCCGGCTACGGCTACGGTCAGTCGCAGCAGACTGGTGAGAGCCGAACTGACAGCGCGAACCCGTTGGTTGCGCCAATTCTTGCGAGGATTACCCCGGGAATCTCGGTGCCGGTGGATTACGAGCTAGTGTCGGCCGGAGTCAACAGCGCTCCAAACTCGCTTGTTGTGTATAAGACCTAGGAGTTGCTATGCCAGCTGATCGCCATGAAAACGGGACAGCTACATTCGTTTCAAGATCCTGGACTACGCTACCCCTTCCATGAGGCGAGGTTTTGAGTCCGCTTCCGTTTGCGGAAGCAGGCTTCGACATTCAGAGCCTTAAAAGGGTTTAGGGTTCAAGGGGGTTTAGGGTTTCGGCTTCAGGGCTTTTCCGCAGCACTTCCAAGAAGCTCGGCTTACATACCCTCATTTTTTTCCAGAACGTCTCGCCTCATCACTGCAATCCTACCCACCTTCCCCGACGGTCCGATAGCAGAGGTACACGTCGGAGGCGTCTTAGCCTCCGAGCTGCATGAGAGCATCAGGCTAGTTCTACAATAGTCTTTGTCATTCCCTGCCCGAACAGCACTAAGTCGGCATTTGGAGGGATGTCGTGAACATTTGCCGCCGAGGGACTTGTGGGCTTTCGTCACCAAGACTGAGAGGGCTTAGGGTTAGGGTTACCGCCCCGAAAATGAGATCTTAGATTGCTTGAGACATCTGAGGGTTTTCGGGAAAACGGTTGTGTGAAGGCAGAGTTTGTGCCGTCGAACCTGTTCGGACATTGCAGGATTGGACAACCATGCACGATGAAGGCCTTGTGCCGCCATCCTTGCCGCTTCCTCCTCCTTGGGCTGCAATTTGGCACACCATTGTCCATGTACTCGGAGTTCTTCGCGCTGATTCAACTTTGCGGCAAAACGCACACTGTTCAGAGCCTTTACAAAGTCTTATAAACCCTATACACTCTAAACCCATAGAGGGCAAACTTAGGCAACGTCGGACTTGGACATTGCCTTGGCCGGGGAAGCTGCACGCTGGCTGTCGAAAGGTGAGAGCTCCCGGTAATGCTGTTGTGCTGATTGGGGAGTTTCTGAAAGCTGTTTCTGAAAGTTAGGTTTAGGGTATGGGATGGCACCGATGCTGATTGCGAGGTTTCTTCTTGGGGTTGACTGATTGGAGGCATTCTACTTTTAGAAACTTCCGCCTGTTCCGTCCGTCGAATATACACGGACCGAAGGAATCAAGGCGCGCCTCATGGTGTTTCGATCCGGTGCGCCTGGAAGGAATTGAGCGTTTCAGTTTTCTTTGGTTGTCAATATCTGCATGCTGGCACATATTCTGGTTTCACTGGGTTCGGCATGCACTCTGCGCCGTGCTGCGGTTGGGCCAGAACATTTCTTGTGCCCGAGTCGCTTTCAACGCTGCCAAAGAGGGAAACATGATCATGCAGAGCCTCAAACCCTCACGCAGAACAAGGTCTCGTTTGCGTATGTTGTGCGGGGTATGCCCGACTTCATCGGCCATAAACTCAGAACATTCAACTTAGCTCCAATGGCTGCCTTGTTCGGTTTTACACCCAGGGAGGCCAATGCATTGTATGTAATTAAGAGGCATACGGGGCATACCGAAAACAGATCAAGTAGTTTTATAAGCGTTGTCAGTTGAAGATACGTATATTTTTTGTGTGTAACTATGCACAGGTTTCTACAATTTTTTGAAGTTGTGTGAAATTAGTCTTCTTGAGTAAGAGGCATCGAGCTCTTTGGGTTGGTAGCCGTATTCTGTGCTTCTGGCTGAGCCCTTCTTTGCAACCAGACCATTCTGAGTTCCTGCGCGTAATACAGGGGCCTGAATACTCTGACTACATTCCAATGGATTCGAGGGATCCACCAAGCCCCGTCCCCGATCCTTAATCCTACGCACACCCCTTTTGGATGTCTTCAGAGGACTTCGAAACTGGCGGCTTGTAAGAAATGCCCTATGTACGAGATCCTTGTGGTGATGTGCACATTCCTCAACTGTGGCTTGAAGTTCAGATTCAGTGCAGAAGCAACACACAATCATCAACTGTGGCTTGGAGTTCAGTTTCAGTGAAGAAGCAGCACACAATCATGGACTTGCACTCGGCCCGAAGACCCGAAGCTTAAACCTGGATGCATGACAATTTCGACCGCCGATCACTGGGAGAATATTCAATCCTTACTTTTTCGGTCTTATGCATTACCCTTAGCATCAAAATAGCCCAAAAGCCTTATAAAATAGGGTCTTTGGGCCCAAACACCTTAAACTATGAGTCCTTTGAGGGTAAGGGTTAAGGTCATCATGCAGACTTAGGTTTGGTGTGCGCTAAAGGAAACCGAGGCCCCACCGGCTTCAGTCGCACTCTCTAAGCTAGGTCGTCGAAAGAATTCGTAGAAGTACTCCCTAAAACATGCTTACATGAGTATAGCAGAATGTGCGCTAAAACTCCACCCAGCTATTCAGGCTCCTATGACTCCTATGTTACCGGGTTTTAGGCTTTGGAATCTCTGGTCCCAAGTTTGGGACTTGGGCCAAGGGTTCGAAACTTGCGGATTGCTGTTAGTGTCTACGGGGTTGTGATTCATGGGGTCTGCAGGGTTAATTAATTAATGTCAGGGTTGAGGAAGGTCTTGTGAGGAATGTCAGAGTTGAGCAAGGTCTTGTGAGGGTGTTGTCGGCCTTTACAAGGCTTTAACAGGGTTTGTAACGGTTGCAGAAGGGATTTGACAGGGTCTTGTACTTTCTACGGGTCTGCTAGCCCGTAATAACCGCCTACAACATGATTGCTCTGGTTGTCTAGGCGCCTTTGTGGCACTTGGATTGTGATGACACTAAACCCCCACACCCAAAGCCCAAATCCGCTTGCGCCGTCAGGGCCCATGCCGACGTCGCGAGTCAATGGTCGCCCACTTCGCGAGCACTCCGAATCATTGCGTTGCCCAGCAGCAGAAGATGTTCATGGCCGGTACTCGTAGGGTTGATTTGTACATACGATGTGTTTGTTTTGAAGGGTAATGCCGTTCTGCTTGCCTCAGACCCATGTTTAGATTCGGTTTTTTGTTGCTACTGACAGCAGGACTTGAATACCTAATACGATCCTAAACCTTGTCGCTTAAACTTAAAACTTTATGCCCTATAAACCCTTCTATAAACGCTGGGCTTTGTTTGCCCACACAGTCGCAGTGGCACTGTGCATCCCCTAAGAGTCTGCCCGGAACCCACTTCGAACCGGTGAGCCGACTGCACTGAAGGCTCGTGCTGGTGCAACAAAACCGGCACTACAGGGCCTTAAGTGGAGTGGGCTCTTGGTGTCTAAATATATACATGTACACATACATGCACATATGCGTATGCATATACATATATGCATATGCATATACATGTATATATATATATAGAGAGAGAGAGAGGCAGCGTATTTTTGTTTGTAAGAAGCCCTAGGCAGCGAGCATGCTACCTGCATGTGCTGTCGACCGATCTGCACGAACACATGCCAGACTTCTGTTACACATTGTCGCATTCTTCCCGAGTTACTTCCGCGCCAGTATGCGGGAAGCTTGTTTCGCATTGTCAACTTCTGATACACCAAACTCCAGACCCAAGTAAGCATGACAATCGGAGCACTGACAGCAAACAAACTTGCCCGAATGACTAACGAATTCTCGAGTCCCAGTCGTTACACGACAATGAAATCGTGCATCTTTTCCGCGAACGTAGCTAAAGAATCGAGTCATGCACCTTCATAAACTGCGTGCTTACAGTAGACTCTTCGCCCATGCGAAGCCCTAAACCCGAAACCCTTAAGTTAAAACCCTAAACCCTTGAGCCTAAAGCCTTCTGCAGCCACAACAAGCCGAAGGAAAGATCTGGGACATCAGCGAGGAGCGAGTTGTTTCGTGACCGGTCCGAGATGCAGACCAATGCGAGAGCACGTTGAAGATGATCCTGGTTTAGAGCTCGGGATGTGGGGTTTAGGGTTTAGGGTTTAGGGTTCAGGGTTCAGGGTTGAGGGTTTAGGGTCTAGGGTCTAGGGTTTAGGCGTAGGGTTCGCGATGTAGGGTGCAACCTCTTCGAAAGCCGAAACACTTGATGCCTTGATCTAAAACCCTGCCGGGAGTCTACCAGTCCTTCATGTGTATGTATAGAAATCTTATATGTATGTACCTAACTATCTGTCTATCTATCTACCTAGCTAACTGTTTAACTGTTTCAGCTTATAATATATATATATATATACACACATCAGCCAATGTAATATACAAGACAGAATGTATAATATAGTCATAGTGCATGGTACATATATATTTATTCTCACACAATATATCTATGTATATGTATATATATATATATATGTATATATATATACACGTATATATCTACATATAGCTTATAAAAGAGGTAGTTTTTCGTACCTAATAGTGCATAATACAGAGCATATCACCCGCGTATATAGAGTATAGCTTTCATAATATGTCAAATATGAAATGAAAAATTGAACCAATACCTCTACAATACACGAAAACATAATCAACACATCATATATACTAGTAATATAACATAGTCTCATGTACTATAGGAAAATTATGTACAATAAGGTAGTATTAAACATATGATAACATAATTGAGTATCATTTCACATAACATGACATCATGCAAAACAAGATGCAGCAACAAAACATAAAATAGCATGGTAAGGGACAGTATAGCCTAATACACAAGAATTTGATATAAGATTGTTTAGTAGAATATATAATCTGTAGGTTATGAGGCGTGCTTTGTTTTTTCGTACAGAGCATTAGCTACACTGCCCAAGGCGGTTTTGGGGTAACCAGAACGGGACAGTTAGCTTCTCCTGCACCCATCAGCAAACTTTCAGATTTTAGGGTTTGGGGTTGAGATTGAGGTTTATGGTTCATGCGCTTCTACGAAAATGTGTTGCGCTTATTCCAACCATTCCTTAATCCTCGTCCCATTCTGATGGCGTCTTTTTGTGATCTTCCTGCTGCCGCGTAACAATCAGTGCACCAGCGTAGCAGCATGGCGGTGTCTCTTTTTCTTCACGCGCTAGTTGCAGTGCATGTTTGTGTACTTGCTTTCCCTAACCTCCAAGATACTTACTATATAGGGTACTAGAGCCCCTAGGGCCCTTTATAGTAGGTACCTTGGGGCTTAGGGTTTCTTTGGAGCTATCACGGAAAGGCAGTTTTGTGTGATCGGCTCTGGCAGCCCCACAGGCCCCATAGTAATTCCTTTTTGGGGTTCATATTTAGAATCCTATAAGGTATTCCCCAAAAGGAATTACTATGGGGCCTATGGGTATGTTTGAAGAAGCTCTGAGTCTAAACCCCAAATCCCGGCCAAAGCCAACCCTGAACCCTAAGGCCTTGAAGATAAGACGAAAAACAGGCCCAATTAAGGCCCCTACCCTGAAACCTAAACCCTAAACCCTAAACGCTATACTATAGTATGAAAGCAGGAAGGCGCGGAGGCGGCTTTCCAGGCGAGCCTTTGCCCGTGGATATGGCGTGATTGGTTTCGAGGTTTACTGGTTGGATTTTGGGACATTTTTATTTTCCTTATTTGGGTTTATAAGGGGCCCTTTGTATAAATACTTTTCAGAGGGCCTGAAAGGCCAACCCAGTTTAGGACGTAAATAAGCTGAGTTGTTGTTGCTTGCTTGTTCTGGTGCGAGGGCATAGGGCTTGGGATTCTGGGATGTAGGCAAAGTAGGCCGACGGCTTCAAGGTTTGCAGTTTCGGATTTAGTGTTCGCCGGTACCTGGGTGCAGACGGGTTTTGAGGTTTCTCGGTGCAACAGGATCATGGTCGGGCTAAGCCAACCTAGCACCAAATCTCTGGCTTTTAATGCTTTTTATGAAGTGCTGGCTGTTGAGGCGTTTAGGATCATCTGGTCTAAGACTTATGATTCCGGGTTATGGACGAAAATACGCGCTTGGGATTGCGCGTACATGTGCGTATACATTGATCTAACTTTAGGGAAGCCCTCAGGCAGCAACCATTGAAATGCCAGTGACGAGAGCATCG